TTTATTATTTGTAGACAATATCTTATTGGGGAAAGTCACTAATATCTTATGCTTTCAGATTATTACTTTAAAAGTATGATTATGAAATTGATGTGCTATGAAGTGAACTGTGAAACCATTTGGATTAGTCATATTTACCACTGTACTCAGGGTCTGTGATGTCATAGGTTGCAATGCTTCTTAGTATAGGGTTGGCTGAATGCAATTACTTAAAAAGCAATAGTAACAGGAAGACATCTACTGTAATATTTGTCAGCCTATATGGAACATCTGTTGTGTTTTATTTTCATGATTTTATAGCAAATGTATTACCAAAGAAAGCACAAGAGTTCTATATGCCAGAGAAAGATTACCTTAGAAACATTTACTTCATAAAACTAGGAAACATATAACTTAATGTTTCATTTACTTTTCCCCAAGAGATATCATGGCAGATAGAAACACCATTTGCTGAAGCAGAAACCATCCATAAACAATAATGAAAACACTGTCTTATTTTTTAATGACAGATAATCCTTACAACTTTTGGAATTAAAGAAAAAAAACAAGTCAAAAATATAATACTTTTATTATATTAAAATGATAATAGTCAAATTGTAGGTGTATCATCAGGTTTTCTTTGATGGCATACTTAAAGACTTTAATAAGAACAAAGAGAATAAAGTAATTCAAACTACTTATTCCTGTTGCATGTGCCTGACATGCATTTACTGTATATAAATGAATTGTTTGCATAAGTTAACATCAGAAGACACGTATGGCTGATTGAAACTCCCCAGTGAAAAATAGTGTCAAAAGTGTTTATAAAAATCATGAGATGATTCTACAATTACTTGATTCTAGAATACACACTCATTTACATTTTAACACCTCTGACATCAGAAGGAGTCTTAACAATTGCTCTTGATCTGATTTAAAATTGCTTTCTTTCAGAAAGAATTCTTCCTTACTTCTGCCAGAAATGTGAAACTCTACTAACTTGATAATCTCTTTAAATCCCTTTGTCTAAAGTTTTGTGTCTAACCTGTTACTGTGAATTCAGAAAGTAAACCTTTCATAAGTACCACTTTATGGTTCAAGGAATGTTTTACTACCTTTTCCCACCATCCATGATTTTGATTGAATCAGGCAATTTTCCTCACTTTCTTCATCTGCATGGAAGTTTATTTCTTATGTAGAGTACTTCTGAACCATTTTTTCCAAGTTCAATGCTGGACTCTTTTATTAAACTTGCTCATCACAGGCAATTTTTCTTTCTTAGCAGCACATAATATAGTGGTGCATTTTATATTCAGTATCATCTTAGACTTGATGAACTTTGGTAATTTATTGAATTTAGGAATTTTTTAAAGGATGACATCAGTTCATCCATCAAATTACAAGTCTCTTTTTTGGGTTAAATGCTCAGATTTTATAGTTGGAACAGGCTAAGGCACAGACCATAATAGCATTGTTGCAAAATACCAAATTTATAACTCTATGTACTACAAAGATGGCACTGCCAAAGATAGTTTATGAAATTTGGGTGTGGTTTTGATGCCAACCAAGACATAAATTGAGTGGGCTAGTTCTGGAGACAATTTAGAAGATTGACTTCTATGGACATTTTACTGCAAGACACTAAAAGATAAATGCATGTACATACAGCAGACAAGAAAATTATTAGGAAGTGAAATTCAATGATGCCATCACACTAGAAGATAGGACACAAAATATTTCAAAGGTCCAGAAATCTAAAATGATGTTATGATTTTAAAAAAATATTAGTATTTATAATGTAGTTTTTGTTTTCTTCCTAGACATGTAAGTCATAGTATGGCTCATTTTGGTTTGTAAAAAAGGGGAATGGGAGTTAGTTCAGAGTAAATTGACTTGGCCAGTCATTTTCTCCAATGACAAGTAGGATAAGCTCCATTTTTTGTCAAAAGCAATTATTTTTGGGAAGGGAACAAACTGAAAACAACCTGAGATTTCTTTTTAGCATCTTGTATGAGGTGTGATGAGAAAACAAAATTTGCTAGCACAGATGTATTTTTAGGGTTTGATACTGAGAGATTTCTTGGTAAATGGCTGCCAGTGATGGAAAAGAGTGTGCTGGGATCAAGGGGAAATGGAGCTGTGTGTTTCTGTTTCACAAGGACCAAGTCATCACCACTGCCACTTTGCAGGAGATGGAGCATCATGACAAGTGCATGTTTAAGGTCTCATCTAAAGGAAAATTTCTTCTATCTTAACTCTGAGTTGTTTTACATATAGTCACTCTATTAAAACCTCAGGATATGTAAAACAGAGTGCTACAAGATGTGTTTACCGTTGCAGCTGGAAATGACCACAATGAAGTGCACAATTTGGTTTTGTGTTGCTTAGGAACTTTTCATGAAACAATCTCCTATCTTTACAACTTTCCATATGAGCATGTATATTTTATTAAATGTGAGAAGTGACATTTGTAAGAGAACATGCATGATTTAGCAGAGTTGGGCTCTGTAGTTTTGCTCACTTTACTTTCAGATATTGTCATCAATTGTTTCTGATTCCTAAAGGTAAGACTAGCCTGGCCAAGTAGGAATGCCTGACTTAATTTCCAAACATTTGAAATTCACTGTAATCTATGGAGTGCATGTTCTACGGTTGGGTATTTGCAGCACAAATAGACAAGAAACAAACAGGCCTTCAAAAAAGGGACGTTTTATTGGGCTTCTTGGGCTATTTTGCTCTTTTCTCCCATATATCATAAACATCCAAGCAGAGTTATTTCCCCACAAATAAGAGAAGAAGAGACAAGTAAAGGATCCTGTAAGATTAAACTACATAAATTCCTTTTTCTCCATACAATACATATTCTAATTCAAAAATTAAGGAAGAAATGCTATTTAGAGCTAAGCACTTCTATACACCCAGTTTTCACAGACTTAACTCACACTAAATTATTCAAAACATATCTTTGAAATCAGATACTCTCCAAAGCCCATTCGTTCAATAATCAATCATATTATTTTTCCACGGTCTCACTTAGAAAAGAATTTCTTTGGTTGGTTTTTGCATTTTTATGTAATAGACATTCGTATCTACTGCATAAATATTATTTTGAAAGACTAATTGGGTTTATAGATTGGATTGCTAAACAAATGGTAGTATCATTAAGATGATATATAAAAAATATATAATCTAATATATATATTAAAAAATTAGCATAGTGCTCTATACATGATGGTGCATAATCAATACTTACAATTATTCTATTTAATTCAAATCTTTACTAGACATCAAAATAATAAGCATCTATAAGTTGAAATCCTTAGATAATTCATTCATTTAAAAATATTCATTGAATACCTATAATATTAATATATAATATAATGTAATATTAATATATAATGTAATATAATATAATTTATCTGTGGTAGCCATAGACATATAACCGTGAGCAAAAGCAAAGGTCATATAGATGTGGAGATTAAAGTCTGAGTGGAAATGAGTTCTAATTACATCTTTCTACTTGTTTTACTTCCAATTATTATCACTAACTCTCTAAATCTGAGCAAGTACCCATGCAGGTACAAACAAACGTAACATTTGCTCCAATTCAGTGGTCTTTTTCTTATTTAAAACTAGACAATAGCAACAGGAAAGTCCTTGGCAAGAAAAGTCTGTCATCCACATGGCTCCAAACATTGACTACATTCATGGTTACCATTTTTTAGTTCTCAAAAAATGAGTCTTGTGAGGATTCACGAATCAGGTACCAACATACCCAGATTATGCACTGGGAGATCTGAACTTCAGAAAGGTAACTAAGTTTTGAATGTAAACAGGTGTTATTGTAGCAGTGTTTTCTTAACATTCATAAAATATAAATATTCTGCACATTAGTAAATCAAATCAAAGTTATTTGAAAAAAATAGATCTGCTTTTATGATTAATGCAAATAGCACTAAAATAATCAATAGGTAATAATTATGCACAGTTACAATGTTTACATTTTGCTTATCCATTTTTAACTGTGAACTGTTCATTAACCATGTCATTGGTAAGTTTCGCCAGCAGAGGGAAGCATAACGTCATTATTATTTTCATGAGGTTGAAGTGGAAGGAAATGTACTAGCACTACAACTTCACTGCCTTTTAAATGATGGCTGGTTGATGTTTCAGCATTAAATAAGCAGCTTTGATGTTAAATAGTTCTTGACATCTTACAGGATGCATAAAATAAGTTTGGTCCAAACAGGAGATTTTTAAGGGAATATCTGACAATTAATTCAGTGTAAAGACATGTGAATCATGATCTACTTGACTAGAATACCCAAGAACAGTATATTGGACTATATCATCAGCACATAAATGAATAATTTTAGAACAATACTTTCTTCTTTGATATGTTTTATTGAGCAGTATTTTGCCTCAGGTTTCTACTACATGTAAACATATGTACTTAAAACTGGCTGGCTTCATTCCTTTCCTTCCGCCTTCCCTCTCTCCCTCCCTCCTTTCCTCCCTTCCTCCCACCCTTCCTTCCTTTCTTTCTTCCCTCCTTTCTTCTTTCCTTCCTTCCTTCCTTCCTTCTTTTCTTCCTTCCTTCCTTTCATTCTTTCTTTTCTTACTAGCACGGTTTGGTTTTGTACTCCACACTGGCCTGGAACTTGCTATGAAGCCAAGGGTGGCCTCAAACTCATAATCCTCTTCCCTCCGCCTCCCCAGTGATGGTACTACATGCCACACCATCAAACCTGGCTTGTTCTTTTGTTAATATAAGAAACTTGAATTTTAAATATCATAAAAATTTAAAGTTTTGAATTCAGCATATCTATGCTCATAAAATATATTTCGGTGGTTTGTGTTCCCTGGTATTTTCTTTCTAATAGATTTTCTTTCCCTTCAGCTGCATTTCTTTGTGCTCTGGGAAAGAGTTGTGCAATACATGGATATGTGTGGATATGCATTTTTGCTTATGATTGTACCCTGGGATTAGCAGGTTTAAAAAGCTGAAAAATATAACTTACCATGATGTTGCAAGTCTGAACAGTGAGTTAGTGGGTCCCCATTTCTTATATCTTGCCGTCTTGTACGTCTAAAACAATTATTTAAAAAATGTTATTATATCTCTATTTTCCCTGCTAGAAATTTCCCAGAATCAAAATCTGTATTAAGACTCAAGGTATTTATGGGAAGAGATGCATTTACATCTTACTAGGATAATTTCTAAAATCAGTTTAGTATACCTGTAAGAAGTCCTCCAAGAACATCAAAATGGGAAACAAGTGTGTAAATGTATGCGCAATGTCTTAAAGATCTTTTGAGTTATCCATAATGGAATATGACTTTTTGCTGCCAGATGTCAATTAATAGCAATGTAACATTTAGAAATGCTAGACTTAAAGTTTTGAGGATGAAAAGCACACAATTTTGAATAACAACCCATTTCTTTAATAAGTGAAATTTTTTTCTAATTGTTAATATTTAAGCCTAAAAATTAAAATTCACATTAATGTTCTCTTTTCCTTCAACAGGATTTTGTAGAATGTTAAAATACTTAAACTGGGCATTCTCTTTAAAGTTGAATATTAAATTTCTTTTTTTGTTTACATTAACATTTTTATAAAGTTTCTTTAATTATCATATTATGATTGCAAACAAATTAACCTTTGGAGTGAATAAAAGGAGAAAAGTAACACATGTTGTACTTAAGGGCAAGACTTCCTTTGCCAGACAGAAATGACAGAAAAGAGATGAGTTTTTCTCTAATGGAAAGCCAAATTTATTTGTAAAACTCAAAAATAATTTCTCCTCCATTCCATGTCTCAGATTGTAACTTAAGTCCCATAAATTTGACCATTCTTTCTCTACACTTTGCTAACAGTTGATTTGGAAAGAGAAGGTGGCCTCTTGCCATATGCTGCACACAAGGCCTGTAGTTTGAGGAAGGGGCTGAGTATAGACAATGGCTGTCTGTGGAAGACAGGAAAAGAATAGGCACACTTGAGTTTTTGCAACTATTTTAATGGATATTGTCTTGCTGCAAAATTAGTTATTTCCCTAAAAACAGCTTTCATAAAGGTCACTGAAAATTGCAAATATGGAATTGATTACTGTATTCATAAATTTAGTCTAAAGTATTTATAGATTTCTATTTATGGAATTAGAGAGACTATCAAACAGATGTTGCACATTTCAAAATTGAACCAACAAGAGAACTTGTGAAACATGAACTACTAAGGATTTGGAAAAGCATTTTTCACTGCCATTTAAGCTTTAGAAAAATGCCATAATAAAGAATATATGTTGTAAGGCCTCTAGACATCCTTTTCAAAGACACTTGTAGTGTCACACACACAAAACTGGATTAAGTAAATCTGAAAGGCATAACAAAAATGTGATAATGAGAATTCTCTCAATCTTGAATTATAGGTGTGTAATAAACATGTTCAAATATATAATATACAGGCTTAACTAGTTATAAAAGTGGTTATGATTTTGTTTCTATCTTCTTCCTTGTTAAGAAAAGCTTAAATTTATCATAGATTATTGTTAAATTAGTCAATGCTTTTCATTGTGCAGAGCTCGGCCCTTCCTCACTTCAGCACAGCTCACACCATTGTCTCCAAAGTAAAGTTTAAAATTCAAAACTAAACTTTTAACAACTCAAAAGATTTGTTTAGTGATCCAAAGTACTCCGGCAACTTTTTAGGAGTGTGGGATTCTGTCCACCTTGAACAGCTGGTGAGGAGGGTTTGCTCCCATTCTTCCTCACGCATAGCACAGCACCTGCCTGATGAAGAAGATTTGGCGTCTTCTTAAATCCCCTGGAGCTTAATGTTTTTAAGAGGCATAAAATTAAATGATTTATTATTATTGTTGTAATAAAAGCATATTGCTGTTTCTTAAGCAATTAATCAATGGACATTATCTTCACACTAAGTTTTTTCTAATTTAAAATTCCAAGGAATTATGAAATCAGTATAAGTGTGTTGTCAAATCAATTCTGATGATGAAAGTTTAAGAAAATTGTATTTCTTCTGCAGTAGATGTTAGTATTATATTAACATTTAACCTTAACTTGATTTTGGGTTCTAATCCATTCACTTATATTATGGACTTAAGTTGTACATGATTGAACACTAAATTTTATCTAAAATTTGTAATGAAAAGATTTAAGTACACACTGGAGTAATTTCTTTCTCCTAATATTTGTTTTCAAACAATTTAAATACAGAACATACCTCACTAGCTATGAAAAATCCACATTCATAGCTTCTTTGAAAACATTAGCTATAATAAAAAATAAATAAAACAAATTATATTGCTCTTGAAATTCAGTAGGTTGCTGCTTTCTATTTTATGTTTCAGTAGGTTGGTGTGCATAACATTAAGTCTTTAAGCCCATATTAACAAGAAGACACTGTATGGAAAGTTCTTCTGTCATTGCTTGTCTCTTACACAGTGGCAAATATCTACAGAGAATGGCAGCTATCAGTGAAGAGTAGAAATGGCTATTTTATCAAGTAATGAATGTGTTTTTATTTTTTAAAGCACAAGTAAACCAATTACTCTACAACTTTAGGATAAGTCTAGGCATTCTCTGTAATATAATGGCATTTCCTGAAAGTAACTCTACATTAAAAGATCAAATATCATTCCTACTGCATTTAATCTTGCGTGTACAAACTTCTAGTTATATCTCATCAAAATGTATTGTTGCCAATAAATTCTATGCATATTTTAGGAAATTTTAATTAACATTCCCCAAAATACTTTTAGGTGTTACCAGGAATACACTTAAAGCAGATACCACTATTTTGTATATCAAATTCAAATCTTGTAAACATGGGATGATACAGTAATCATAGAGAGGCATACAAAAACTGGGGGACAAATACAGAGATGTACTTTGGAATGATAGCTAATTAACATTAATATGTCATATATAAAAAAACTTGAACTTTTTTCTTGACCTTTTATGATTCAGTCCATACAGACTACCTAAGACTCCAAATGCAAAGAATAAAATCTCCTTTCTCTGAGAATTTTCTGACAATTCAGGAACATAAATTGCATCATTAAAATTTAAGAACAGCATAAGATATTGCTGGATAGAACAAAGGAATCATGTTTAAGCAAAAGAACTCTTTGGTCAAAGTTGTAAGGCCTATTACTGATTCTGCTCCTGATGTTTTCTGTGACTTTGAGTTTCCCACTGTGTAAAATTAAGTTGCAGAACTGTAATTTCCAAGTGTAAAAGTTTTGGGATCTTATTGTACTGTCTTAATCATCTCCCAGTCATTATTTATGAAAGTCATTTGTGCCATTGTGCTTAGTATCCAGCTTTCCCGTTCTAGTTTTCAGTCGTCTCAGAAAGTATTTGCCTGGCCTGGCCTCAACTGCAATCCTCCCAATCTTAGCCTAGTTTCCCAAGCGTCTAAGGTTAGAAGTGTGACCCACCGTATGCAGCAGTCTTGTTTGGACTATTTTAAGGAAAAAAATACAAAGAAAAATGCCACCTCCACTCAAATCTCTTCCAAAAAAAGTGATATGCTTATTTGAAGAAAGCTGTTCCAAAAATTGAGTCTAATAAAGTTACTATTGACCATTCTACACATATTTAGTATTTCTCCTACCTTTTTGCAGTAGGAAAATATCGAGAGCAAGAAGAGCCATCCCAAGCACAGTAAGGGTCTCGGGCGAGGCAGCACTCTGCACAGGCTTTGCCATAAATATCGCACCGGTGCAGAGGGAGTTGGGTGACTCCAGCAGTTGAACCAACATATAGTTGTTGCTGTGGAAAGAGTTTACAATTATGGCAAAAGATGTCTTGATTTTTTACAACTCCTTTTTCATTTCAAAGTTCATGTTTTTTTATTGTACAAATAAGGGGTCTCACTCTGACATTTCACACATGTATATAATGTACTTTGATCACATTCATCTCCCTGTTACCTTCACTTGATCCCCCTCTCCCTCACCTGATCCCCTTCCTCTTCTCATATGGTATTCCTTCTATGCTCATGTCTTTTTTAAAATCTAGATTCAACATATGAGAGAAAATATGTGATATTTGTCCTTCTGAGTTATTTAGACTTATTAACAATAAATTATATTTATAGATTTAAAAACTCATTATTGATAAAGACCTGGCAGATAATATAACAATTTGAAATGGAGTAAGAACAAATCTAAGCATCTGATGGTATCAGTTGTTTTAATTAAGTATAAAATAAAGGGACAATAAGGAAAGATAGCCATAGATGTGGAAATCTTCAGTTTGTATTCTTAGCAAGTTTTCTTAGTTTTATTCTTTATAATTTTGATTAGCCAAATTATCTTCCTGGCTATGCATTCCAGATGGGCTTGATGCAGACATTTTTGCTTCTGACTCCTATTACACTGCCTGTGAGGTACTGTGCCCTTCTCTGAGAAAGGATAGGATAAGTTTTGGGGCTGACATTTCAAAGAACTTTTGGTTCAACACCAAGAATTACCTTGCCCTTGCACTACCTCCAGGAAAATTATTTTAAACAATAATATTAAATTGCTTCCCATTCAAAGGGCCCCCAAAAGGGAAGCAAATACTCTCTGGTGCAGCCTTCCAAGGTAGACAAAGCACCAAACAAGGCACTAAGGCACTTGGGTGCTTCATCTTGCCCTCCATGACTGTGTGTGTTCTTGGGACATTCACATATTTTTCCTAAGAATTAACGTCCTTGTCCATAAAATAAGCATAATTCACAGCATAAGCATGTTTAAATTAGGCATCCAGGTAAAACATTCCACACTACCATTATCTTCAGTTGAAGTTTGAGTTATTGGATGAGGCAAAACAGAAAAGATTAAAATAAAGAACTTTCTAGTAGGTCTTGCCTCAACATTTCAGTTAAACTTTAAAAATACTTGGAACAAAGTTGTGTCAACATAACGGTTCACTTGTGACCTTATAGAAACACAGAGTGAAATAAAAAATAACACTGTTTTGTGATTTATTCTATATGCATCCTAATTGGTACCATGGCTGCTTTTTCTTGCACTAGAAGATTGATTAATTATGGTAATCCTTCAATAAAATTTATGTAAATGGAAACCTGCACTAATAATGCATTTCAAAAGGGTATTTTAATTTCTCTAGTATGTAGGTGACAAAAAGGTTTCAAAGAAGTCTCACTCTAAACAATGGTTTGCTCTTGTAACATTACAAATGGTCTGATAGTCAGAAATGGATATAATTAAAGTTGCTTTTCCAAAGACTTTTATTTATGGATTACATATATAAATAAACAATAATCTGAATGCAGACTGAAGTTTTTATTAGAATATAAGGCATTATTAAAATTATGAGGAGTATTTGTGTAGAAAATAGTTCAGTGCTTAAAGGTAACCATATACTTATATCTTAATAGAAGGAAGGAAAACAAGAAAGAAATGTAATACAACAAAAACTTAACCATAGTGGAAGATTTATCCTGATAAATATTGCTATTCAATTCCAATAAATAGAGAAAATAAAATTATAATAATTTCTAGATACTCAACATTTTACTATATCTAAATTTAGTATTATATTGAGTAATGTTATAAATCAGGCGAGATTAAGAAGTGAAGGCTAAGTCCCTGGGAGGAAAAGATGTTTCTTCTTCCAATACCCTCTTTGTCATTTTTTTGAAAATGAAGTTAGATCATACTGAATAGCAATTTCAGTGTGATAAAATAAAACAAATGCATAATATTTAAAGAGCAATGGGACTGCTTAGAATGCTGAAGCAATATTCAAAAGTACGGTTGACAGTAGTCAATATGAACATGCCAATCCACAGATTGTGATGGTAACTATTTTAAAAAGCTGTTCACAAATTGGTCATGTCATCAAAAAATCTCTATGTTTGGCTAATAACTTTTAAGAAATATAAGCAAAATTCATACTTATAGATTTCTAGGTTTATGACATTTGAGTTGGAAAAGAATTATCTAAACAAAATACATAAATCTAGCATAGTCCTTTAGGAGAAAAACAGGAAATAATGTATGGAAACAATAGAAAAGTAAAAGTGTGACAACTGAAATTATTCCAATGAAAATCTAAAGTGTGATAAAATGTTAAAAGTTAAATACAATACAATGTCATTTTCATTTTATCATAATTCTGTGGGATTATTAATGATATACAAAAGTAATTATGCTATCCAAATGAAATATTGGGAAGTACAGGCATCACTGAGCATATTCCATTCACTAGGTAAGGGACACGATGTGCTTTTTCTGCCCAATTTAACATCACCACAGGCTTTTTCACTATCCTACTCAACAAGTTGGGAGCCATAAGCAGGATGAGTCCATTTATCCAGAAAATTGCTCATAACACTACTCATCTCTCTTAAAATACTGCTTCACTTTAAAAACACCCCTAAGAATGAGTGCAACTGAGTCATGACTGAATGAAACCAATCTGCCCTCCATAACTGGGAAATGTGGGTTACTGACACTTTCTTCTATCGTGGTAAGTTAAATTGATACTATTGGTGTTTTTTTCTTGATGAAATGTTATGTTAATAGACAATCTTTTAGGTAGCTTTAGAAAATTTAAAACAGAATGTTTTATACAATGTTTTACACAATTAGGATTGGCTATGAGCCTAGCAGAGAATAAATAAATAATTTTAAAAATCATTATAGGAAAGACTATCTCAGTCTAGCTTCCAACATGGAAATCCCCAGACTTCCTTGCCAACATGTGTCAACTTTTAGATTATAAGAACAGGTGGACACATAATTATGAAGTGTAAGATAACAGTATCAGGTCAATAATAGTTGCTCTAAATATCTTGGAGATTATCAATCTATTTTGATATGTCTATGTGGAAAGACACTGGCACAGTCATTTAGTGTTTTGTTCAGGGATAAAACTGGTCAATGACAAGATATGTAAACATTTCAGGAATAAAATTAGATAAGTGATTCTTATGTTTCACAGCTCTGTGTATGTTTCTCCTTCAGTGAGGGGCACCCTATTTCACGCTGGCATTTTCCACTAGGTTGATTAATAATTCATTTCACCTCAGTGTCCAAGCTTTTTTGAAGTTACTATTAATATATTGGATTAAAGTCTAGATAACATTCATGAAGAAAAGATAATAAGTTGTAAGTTAAAACTGTATTCATGATGTATGTGTAATTTAATATTTAGAAGCCATTTGCTTTTATTAAGTGTCTTACCAAAGCATTCACTGGATATGAATGAAGTGCATATTAGCAAGCCACCCTTAACCTTTGAATTACTGGAGTTTTAGAATTTATCATTTGGTAGTTATTGTTGCTCTGTTTCCTTTTCATGTTTAGTCAAACTTAAAAGTCACATGTTGTGTTCTCTGACACATAATAGTGAAAAGGTAAATGTAACTTTTAAGTCAAGATTCTCCAAACATACATATCCAATGCTTTATTTTTATAGCCTATAAAATATATTTTACTTTTATATGAAAAGCAAAGGTAACGTATAAACTTATTGTTATTCTAAAATACAAGTAATGTTAGTTTTAAAGTATGTATATATCATAAAAAAAGAAAATAATTACTGAGTATTTTGTAAATTCTATTATAATGACTAAAAAAGTAAATTGAAATATATAATGATTAATGATCTTGGAAATATGTTCATAAAGTGCAGATGAAACAGATCAAAAATATCAGGACAATGAAAACTCCCTTTAGTTTTCATTCTCCTAGCTCATCATGTGAAAGATATTTCTTTTCTTTAGCTTTTTTTCTTGCACACTTGTTAACAAATCTATCAAATGAGATGGATAATAAGATCTATTGATTTGAAATACAAAAATAACAAAATATAATATTAACTATAGCACATAATGATAGTACCTGCTTAGTTGAAAGCTCCATTGCTGATATAGTAGTTGGTTCCTGAAGAAAAAATGAAAGTGGTCATTGAGAAAAGCTAGACATTAATGAATTAACACAAGGATCCAATATAAGTTTTCAGAGACATAACTTCAGTGCTCACAAGAAGTAATATAATTGGGAAATAAGACACATAAGAGAAACTGTGCAGATAAGAGTTAAATACGTAGAGTTACACGGTCAATGTTATCTGGTCAAAGACCATGAGGATCACTGCTGTAACTGATGAAATAGGCTTTGTTACTCATTGCAGTAAGAGAGAAAATGCTACTATTCTGTAATGTGTGATGGAAAGGACTTTTCTTTGGTGCTTGTATGAAGTTATTGGGAGGATTTAAAAATTTAGGGCTTTTTTCTATACTGGATACTGTGAAAACAGCAGGGATAATTCTACAAGTAGGATTACAAATCATTTAGAAGGAGGGAAAGACAGTGAGGTTAATGCCATCATTTGTATAGAAGTAGTAGTCCCTCAGGCTACATTAGTGATATTTGGTCATTTTTGTGGCTTGGACAATGTTCATGTTTTTGTCTGTGCTCAGAGATGATTATGGAATGGTCTTGATTTTATCTGAATTCATCATGATCTCAAAGTAGCCTTTTCTGATGTTGGTGTTCTGTGAAAATTTGTACTTTCAAATGGAAAACACCATGGCTTAGCTGAATGTGCCAGGTCACCTCCTAACACGACCAATGAGAGCTCATAGTATTAAGCCAGCTTCCAGCAGTAGAGGGTTGCAAGAGTTCACTTGCGATGAGATTACTTTATTATTATTAAAATGACTGTTTAATGTACAAAGACCTACAGTTCAGATCTTTGTCTAAGACTATAATCTTTTCAGTATTTGTCAACAAGCTAACATAGAATAACTAAGAAGGTGACCATCATCAATGAGCTTAGTTAAGCTTTCAGAGTGGAACTTATTATGCATGGATTTGCATAAGTAATCCCTGTTTCTTGATGCATGTGGATCACCAAAAGGCTGTACACCTGAACACCTTAGCTTATATTCTTCTGGATTTATGCTCATTGAACACATTTTCCTTCGTATCTTTCATCACAGATAACCATGATGCTGAAATTAAAATGACTTGTGGGATTCAGAGGGGACCCATGAGAAAGATTTAGGTGGGAAGAATGACCTTAAATGGCCTCTTTGTGTTAGATAACTGAGGCCATCAGATTTGGACTCTGAGACTAAACTGCAAGTTGCGGCTCACATCTGGCCAGAAGTGTGATATTCTTTGTAATTCAGTTTTCTTCTCTAAAAAATGAGTATGATGGTATTTCCCTCATAGGGTTGTTTAGAAGATTAACAAGATAATACAGGTAAAGCACTCTGTAAATATTCTTAGTGCATAGTGTTTTATTCCCCCCATACCTTCCCCTGCCTCTTTCTCTCCCTTTCTCTCTCTCTCACACACATGCACACACACACATACATACATACACACATACATACTATACCATTTCCTTTTCTTGCTTTTTCCCTTTAGTGCTTACCATTGTCTGCCTCTATGTGTGTGTATATGCATATATATGCAAATAACTTATCCCATGTCTTGTAAGCTTCCTCACCTGGCCCTATCCCAAAGTAGAGTCTAAGGTAAGATCAAGAGTGAGGAATTGAGGGTTGAACATGGTGTTGTAGAAATCACCACTAGAAGAAAACTTGAGGATAGTAGATAATGACTTTGAAAATTGTCCACTGAGATTTGGACCAGAAAACCTATTTTTCATTCTATTATTCATTGGAGGTTTCAGGGTTGTAAATTCTTCCATGAGCCCAGACATAACTCTTGATTTTTGGTATACTATCAAAGCAGTCCTGGGAAGAGAGTGACTCATGGTAGGAATTATATTTGAGGCTGACAGGATATGCAGAGTGAGAGTAGAGGTATTTAATATTGCTTATTAATTGTTCCCCTCAGTTACACACAGAGATCTAGGCTGTCAATTTCACTGCTATACCTCTATCATGTAGAATTACAACTGCTATTCCCAATTTTTCAGTAAGTACTTTTTTAGTGGATGAATGAATAACTGTCTACATATTTTCTTCAACTTTCTCCTATTTCTTCAACTTACCCTACTGCACTGTATTCTTCTTATTTTATTTGTATATAAGAATAAAGGCAGTCATCTTTTAAAATGCCTTTCCTTGATTCTTCAAACTTAGCTGGAACTTCTTTAAAAATAATTTAAATATTCTACACTCACTGTTTTTACTTGTTCATCCTTTTTCCAATGCCATCCTCCTCTTAGCCCTCTCAGCCAGCCCCTCATCTAGAGAGGGGGTCTACAATTCTTAGAAGCAAAGGCTCACCAATGACCCCTCTTTTGCTGAATGAACTCTTTTCTGAATGAATTGTTATTATGGGAATTCTTTATTTCCATTGGCAGTGCTGACAATTTCTTCTTGACTGCTTCTATTAATTTCCATTGTGCCTTGAATTCTTGACTATTTCTTCTTATCCTTATCCCAGTCTTTATACCCTCCAGTCATTCCTAACATGTTTGCCTTCCCTTGCCTACTCCTTTCCTTGACTCACCTTTGCATGCTACCTTCTTTTCCTTGAGCTCATCTACTCTTTGATGTTGTTTATCCCCGTGTATGCTGAATTGCAAATCTCCACTTTGAACTTGATAACTGAACTGAGAACAAGATTTTCTTAACAAATTTAAAACATCCTGCCTGAGACACAAATGAGACAAGTGATTTAGGATATGCACTAATGTAATTGGATAATTTAGAGATTTCCAATAGCTGTCCATTTTTATAGCTTGAAATGAATGATACTTGCTATTAAATATAATAGTTTTCTATAGGACTTTTCAATCATAAAGACAACAATGAAAGGAGTGTCTGCCAATTTTATCTATACAGAGATATGATCTGTAGTATTAGTAATATTGAATCACAGAAATCAATAGAACAGTTCATGACAAATATTCAGCTTTAAAAGACAAAGCTGAAGACAACATTTAGGTTTGTACAGTATTGGAACAAATTAATCAAAACAAAATACTTTTGCAGAGCAACTTCTCTTTTAACAGTTTCACATGAGAAATAATTGTGTGGCCATATGAGCAGCTAACATCATTGATATTTATGTAAGAAATTTTATAGTCAAAGTGCAAAGAAAACACTTTAGTCAGAGAAAGTTTAAATATAAATGAAGTGAAAGTTCTGGGTAAGTTCTTTTTAAAAATGAAGTGATAATCTAATTCATTGGTTTCATGTTCATGAATAATACCAAAGAAAGCAAATATCTATAAGGCAGATGAAAATAAATTATTTCATATGTAAGTTACAGATCATGAAATGAACCTTTATTCACATCAGTTTTAATGGTGTCATAATATGATTTCAACATTCTTAAGATCCTAGAATTCCTTAATTAATAGAAGGTTATTTATTATTTAAACCACAAAGTTAATAACAGTTTGGAATAATATGTATTACACAGTGCCTGTAGTTGAACTTTAATAGACAATATATTAAGATGACATCCATTTAAATAAGCTATATATTTTTTTTGAGAAATAGCTGGTGGTGAATATGACTTCCATTTAAAACAGATGTAGCTTCATAAGCATTTTTTAATGAAACTGGCTTTAATTGCAAATTTATTTGGTGTTCAAGTAAAAATGAAATTAAAAACTTAGCATCTTTTCAAGATTTTCTATGACTCCAATTTACCATATTTCTTTGAGATATTCTAATCTAGACCTTATTAAACTTTTGCACTTGCAAAGCTTTTCAACCTGCTGATCCCAGGGGATTCTTCTGATGTCACTCACTAGACGCTAAGCACATGGAGGCTTCTTTAGAATAAGTTAATAGACTAGGTTTCGGAAAGCATCAATTATGTTTTACATCTGAATGAAAATTAAACTCTTTCATTTGTTTGCTCAGCTGCTCATGGAATATTGCATAAATTGGGTTTCAAATGGATGTGTTACTGATGTAACTGCCTTGCAATCCTTTATAGTCAATAAGACTGAAAATAAAGCCCATCATCCTGAGTGCACTGAAACTTGAAGTAACACTTCACTGTCTCAAAAGTAAATTCCTCCTGAACTAAACCAGAAGATAATCTCATACTGAATACCTAAGGTAAAAATCAGCAAATGTGTTGCTTTTATATTTTCTGAATACTAAAAAGTAAGATATAAGTATGGAATTTTCATGCATTTTAAACCAGATTGTATTTATGTAACTAGTTTACAATAGCTACCATTTACTAGTAAGCATAGTTTTTATTTTAAGAAAGCATTTTAAAATAAGTGTTCATAATCACAATCTTCATATGAGAAGAAATTGAGGATCTATTAACTAACTAGGTTGCTCAGAATCACAGAGTAAATATGGTCCAAATTCTGATTTATGATTACAGATCACATTTAAAATTAGACTGTGTTTTAGTACTTTAATGCCATTTTGAATATTTAGTGGCAAATCAATCATTTCTTAACTCCTACAACAATGCCAATTTTATTTCACCTCTTATCACCAATTAAAATTTACTCTAAAGTGTGGAAATTTTATTACCAAGGAATATTTTTCTTTCTATACTATGGTTGAGATTTGATTTCACCCAGAATAAAAGTACCTTGGATGTTACTGAAACCACTGGAATGTTCTGTGATTAGCTGGGGTATTTTCCTAAAACCAATCTCAAGATAGCAGTGGGCATGCACTGGTTTTAATCCAAGAATTTATAGGAGATTTGACTATTCCGTCTATCAAGACCATATAATGAGCACAGTCTCATGGAGACGGTAACATGGGAAAATGAACTGGTTGGTTAATATTAAATGTGTGGTTTTTTAAACTATCCAAGAGTATCAGGTATGAACATGACTTTAAGTCTGTACCTCGCCTATTTACCTTGTCACTATTATAATGCGCAGGTCGACCTTTCTCTTACTGTATTTTGTTTTAAACAAAATGACAAAAGGCTCAAATAGAATCACAAAACTGTAACATTTCTGTTTTTTTTCACTGTATATGGCTATAGCTTTAATGTGTTGTGTTTTTTTTCTTCCTCTACAAAATTAAACAGAGCTTGACAGTGAGATATTCCAATTGCTAGGCCACAATATATGAATGAACTTTGTCTGATAGAATAGAATGTTGAAAGTAAATATTTCTCTAAACTCTACCCAAATATGTTTTGTCTACTTGAGTGCCAAGGAAATAATGACAATATCTATCATAGAGAACATGGAAGAAAACTATAGCAGTTTCTGTGGAGGGAGATGTGTTTCCAGTTGCAAACAATCTTCGAACAAAACTGTAGACTGATAAACAACTATTTCCATGCCACACAATATTACTTACTTGTATTTAACTGTGAGAAACTGATAAAGAACTCCTCTCAAGATATCCTTTCTTTTTTCTTTCTGGCAATACTGCTAGGTAGGTACTCCACCTCTAGAACCACACCACACCTCCAGCCCTCTTTTTGCTTTAGTTATTTTTTGGATAAGGTCTGTCACTTTGCCAAGGCTGGCCTACAACCAAGGTCCTCCTATCTAATCCTCCTGGATAGCTGGGACCACTGTGTGGGCTACCACACCCCGTTTATTTGTTCAGATGGGATCTTATTAATTTTTGGGGACATGGGTTATCCCTAAACTGTGATCTAGTCCCTTATTTTTGCTTTCTGAATATTCGGTACTACATATGCACACCAACATGACCAGCCACACAAGATATCATAAATGCCACACAAATGTATTCCTATAGTAATCATAAGTATAAACTGATGATGTAATTCTCTGGAAAGCACAAAATACTAACAAAATAAAATAGATATTAAATACACTTGCAAGAGTGTTGGCTTCCAACCTCTCATGATTTAGGTAAAAACCATTTTAACAGCTTAACTTTAATTAAAATCCTTTTAAATGGAAATTTTTATTAGCATACCAAAGAACAGAGGTAAGATGTGGAGTGTAAACTTAAAATCACAGAAATACGAAGAATGAAAATTAGCTAGAAATACAATATTGCCTCAAAATCATGCATGTTTTGATTCATTAAATCCCAACATAATTAAATGATAGGAAAAAAGAACAGATTTCTAAAATGTCATGACATGACTTGAGACAATTCTAAGCAGTAAAAATAAGGGGTGTGACTGCCTGTGAGCTGCAGGCAAGGGACTGTGTTGATTGGGTTCATCTCTTATCTACCAGCACCATGATAGACACTGGCATACACTTGCTGGTGAATTAATGAATTAACCTTGTTTTAAGCATGTATGGCCACTGAAGGGAAATATACCAAGGAGCCATGACTAATGGAAGTAAGACAATAGGGAAATAATTAAGAATTCTCAAGGTAACATATCATAGTATTTCCTGCAACCTTATTTGGAACAGTAGTGTCAATAAAAATCTCCCAATATGTGTACTAACTATATGTATAGTTAGTAATTTTTTTTCAGCTAGAGAATAATATGTGACCAGATCAGCAGGATAACATGTTGCTGGTTCTAATTTTTCTTTTCTTTTTGTTTTATTATTCATATGTGCATACAAGGCTTGGGTCATTTCTCCCCGCTGCCCCCACCCCCTCCCTTACCACCCACTCCGCCCCCTCCCTCTCCCCCCACCCCCTCAATACCGGGCAGAAACTATTTTGCCCTTATCTCTAATTTTGTTGACGAGATAGTATAAGCAATAATAGGAAGGACCAAGGGTTTTTCATCCTCATTCTCCAGCTCCTCTCTTTAAGCCTGGTGTCCCCGAGGAAGGACCTTAAAATCTTTAATTTCTCATATTTAATAAATGTTGATTGAAAATATATTTTAGGATATGGAGATATAGCAATGAATATAAGATAGTGATTTATAAATTTATCCTTCAATACCCATAATTTGTTTACTAAATCTAAATGGACTCTATGGTGGATGACATATTCCATTTGGATAACTGCGTGCTTTAAATTTATAAGCTAAAGTACCAATGTGTTCACTCATTGAAGTAACTCATGGGGCATGTTGAATGCTAAAGACTATACAACGTTCTATACCCAACAGGAAAAAAAAAATGAAAATAAGGCCAAAGTACTTGTTTTTTTAAATTAAGAATAATGATTTTATAATTTCAAAGTTTTAAGTAAGGACTACAGAAAAACATACTAGAAATGAATCTCATTTTCAGTTAGCTGAAAGAAACAACAAAATAATATTAACAATAACTATTTGCAAAGTGCCTGCCACTATCCATGGTGCTTTATACACATGTCTCTAACTCTTGTGATCTTCTGGTGAAATAGGTGTGATTCTCACTCTTTTGCTGAGGGGAATGCTCAGAGGGGATTGTTGAAGAGTTCCAAACAAGAATTGTTAAGTAAATATCATTGAGGAGCATAAACTTTTCCAATTAGAACATTGTTTGCTTGTTATTACAGTATCTATGTTACAATATACTGTATGTTTCAATGCTAATCATACTTTTAATTGAATGGATATCGCTTAAGAAATTGCCATATTTTATTTGATTTATTTTCTTTAAAATACTATTGAATATTGATCATCAGCCTATTGGGGGAGTACAGTGGTATAGAATTATGAGGCTAAGAGTAGTCTTGGGAAGATTATGATTACCATTAAATATTAAATCAACAGGAAATTTTAATCTAGCACTTTTATTTTACAGATAACCTATCTGAGATACCTGGAGACTAAATGATATGTATCCATTGAAGTTGTGAAATCAGATCCAATGATTTCTCATTTATCTATTTTTCAGTTTCTTCTAATTCTAATGTGTCTCAATGTGACTTTGCTCTATTCCTTCACTGAAAAAATTAAAATAACACCTTATGTAGGAATCTACTTCCCTGTCATATCTCACAAGTAATTCATATCAAATTGTGCTTCAATTCAAACGCCTTCTATTAACTAACTTTCCAGAAGGAACATAATATACATTATGCTACTCAGTTTTCCTTTTGCGATGCCCTTCTGCTTCAACCCCAATGCCCCCAACCCTAAAAAAACAACCTTACCTGAGCCAGCTGGTATTCAGGACAAAGGGACAAATGTGTATACATTTCACAAGTATGCAGACTAGGAACTTAAAATTTTGTACTAGTAATATAAAAACTTCAAACTTACTTTTGTTAATAATTTAAGACAACATGATAAAAAAAACACTTGTGAATAAGCTAAAAAAAATTGAAATGTCTTCATTATTGCCATCCTGAATATATTCCCCTTAATGCATTCATAGAGGTTACATAATATCACAGTCATACCATAAAGTGAGAAAGAAGAGATTTTAAGATTGGAAGGGTGTGAGTTTGTTCAGTGAGGTAACTTATATAAATAGTATAAAATGTAATCATATATTTTATCATTGAGAAAACAAAATATGAGCCAAGAATATATTTCTTTACATCTTTAGATTTGACTTGCATTGAAAGTTTCAAGGTTTATTTTGACTAGTGTCTGGCTTTCTAATTGACAAGCTAATTAGAAGGGCATTCTAGCCTATGAGTCCATACCACGTTCAGTGTGCAGCTGTCCTAGGGGAAAGCATACAACTGAACTTGTTGACACTTGAAATTAAGCAGCACTCACCCGAAAAACTGTCATTTCTTCCAGGAGAACTTCTTCCAAATCATGCCACGTCTCTTTAGGAATTGATACTACTTTGAGAACGGTTCCAACATCTTTGAAAGAAAGGAGGGAAAAAGACCACAGTTAAACAGATCTGAACAGATTTTAGTGCCAGTGGAGGGAATCATGATTTGTTCAGAAAAGAACATTTTGAGCTCAGTCTTCTGTTTAGTTTGTTTTTGTGAAACTATTAGTAAACTATGCATTTGAATGCATTTCAGGCAATTGGACAACCAAACTACAAGAATAGTGTTGGAATGTAAAAACTGAATTTTTAGAACTGTTACTTCGAGGAAGGTTTCATTCTCAAGCAGCATAATTTTGAAGAAAATGTAATAGTAACTATAGAAATTGGCTAAGTAGGATTATTTCATTATTGCTTTAAAATATCACTCTTTGTCAAGTATCTGAGGAAAAATAATCTAAAAATAATACCACTTTTATTATGAAATGAATGTACTCCTGTGAGGACTAAATGTAGATGTAAAATGCAAGGAATGTTGTCAACACACAGGGGTAGTCAGAGCCCCAGAGCCCAGGCTGCTTATCCTTGTCACCTGAAAGTCTATAGTACTTAGTAGCTCTTAAAGAAGGCTCAATACTCATGATGTGATGAATGACAATAATGCAATTTCTGGAAATAAACAATTAGGATTACTTATGGCAGTAGTTTTTCAATAATGCATACAATGGTTAATCAATTTTAGTGCATAAAAGACATTTTAAATGCATAGTTAAATTGAATATACTTTGTAGACATTTCAAACCTTATGATTTTTCTAATTTTCACTATTAGAAGTCATAAATTGTTTTAATGACAAGAACTATCGCTGTAATTCAATGTTGGATTAAGGAAATATAATTTCCAATATTTTAAGCATGTTCCTATTTCTTAGTATAAGGAAGAATAGGGTCCTTTTCAATTTAAAAATTGGACTCTTTGACATTCCAGTTCTAATGAAGAAAATCTTATCAACAAATAATGAGTTACACCAGAAAAATAACTCAACGTAGTCATACCACTTTAGATAACCATTTTCAGGGAACCAACATAATATGCTCTATATGGACAAGAAAAATGCTAGCTTACCCCTTGCAAAACAATTTTTTTAGAAACGACCTCTTTTAAGAGGATCCTTCTATGTTTACAAGACCTTAGACTACCCTTAACATCAAAGATTAAAGGGAAATTAGGTTAATCTACTCAGTGCCTCTGATCGGCTCTCTAGTACCCAAACACAACTTTATCTGTACGCCAGATCAAGTTTTACTGAGTAGTATTTCAAACAATTTCACACAAATTGAATCAGATTACTCAACTAGGATCAATATACTATGATGTGAAACTTAGTTAAAAGATAAAATTACTATAATCAATTTACTTTGCTGACAGATGACCTAGGTCTGTATTGACCTACAGCCATCCACATCATCAGACCTTCAACATTCTCATGAAATTGGTGCCTTTAAGGACAGTTTGTGTCAGAGAGGAATTAAAAGCTCCTGATTGGCTATATTTGGTCAAATACCCTGAGGCAAGTTTTGTTGCTTTCAGTGAGTAAGGGACTTTTGAAGAAGTTTAAGCCAGAGATGAAGAAAAAGGTAAGTGAGACATTATTGAACAAGCTTAATTATTCCTCAGAGAGATTTCATTATAAATTGACTGAAGAGGAATGCTATTATCTTATATTTTCTGCCAATATTTACAACTTGAGGTTGTTGCTCACAATTCACTGACTTCTACAGAAGCCCAAATCTCATTGGAATTCTTCTATTTGATAGAGAAAATTTCTGGACCATAAAAGTAGACTTTAATGTATTGCTCAGAACCTAACACTGTTACACCAGATAATGCAAGTATTTCACAATTTCATTATAAAAATTTAGTCCTTTAAAGCACTTACTGCACAGTTGCCATTCTTCTGTAGCTAACATTTTTTTTTTCTGTTTCTCACCCAGGGAAAATAAATGTTATTATACAAGGTTTCAGTGGAGCACTCACCGTGTTTCCCATTGATTTATGTCAGTTAACAATGTTAATGGAGAGTAGGAATTTATTACCTTGGAACCTGACCCTAAGCAACAAGCTTCAGATTTGTAACTGGTATTTTCAAACATAGTATTACTATTAAAAAGGGTAGAGCTAAATGAATAATAATGTCATAATAATAATGGAATTAATTTTGAAACATACTTGGAAAGATTGGTTTCTAATAATGGAATTAGTACAAAGACATTGTTAAATTTTTATTGAAAGGTATCTGATGATTTATTGGGTTGATTTTGTAATTTTTTTGATGAAGTCCTTTTTCTTTTTCTCATTGAATGGCAGAAACAACAAATTTTGATGCTAACATTTATTTACCGGAAGCTTTTCACTGTATGAAAAAATTTTACAGTTCGGATAATTTTGCAGTAATATATTCTGGGACCATTATCCAATATCCTGTGCCTTCTAGACATAGTCTGAACAATGTATCTTTGTTCTTAAGTCACTGACTGAAAAAAGGAGTTATATGTCAACTAGGAACATTTATTGTTCATCTAATCATTTTTCTTTACTTGAATACATGTATCAAGTTTTCATTGAAAAGGAAATTTATTTTCATTTAAAATGTGTCAACTTACCTAAAAATATAACAAATTTTATAGGGTACAGTATTCAGGTTTTTGGTCATTTACAAGAGGTGAAATATACCTTGAAAATGACTAAAACACGCCTTCAATCCTTACTGTGTTTAATCAGTTAAAGTAGTGTTCTGAAAGAAAATGTGTAGCTGAAGTTAAAGAATTTACCTGTTCCGATAAACATGACATCATACTGGCCATCTTCTGCATCCACTCTATCTACTACGATCTGTGTAAATTGATAATTTACATCTGTTTTGATCATGATTGGGCGATTATTAATAGGAAAAACTGGATTGTACATGGCTGGATGACTTCTTGCAAAGGTTATGACATCATCAGGAAGGTCCTTTGTAGAGTCAAACCCACCAAATGTTTTGCTGGGACACTATTAGAATAAAAAGAAGAATTTCTTTTGATTAAAATCTAATGAATAAGATTATAAAGTATATAATGGCATTATATAATAATGGTCTACGGTCTAAATCTGTGATTATTTTTGCTACTTATATTTTAAACAGATTAATTAATAATACTTTGTTATCAGTAGTTAGTAGCTACCTAAGCTAGTAGATGCAGTAACCAGTATAAATATTCCACACATCTTAATTTTTCAAGGAGATTTTATTATGTTTCCATTTCTTATGAAAAATTGCAAATAATTCTATGAATTCAGTGTATAGAAGAAGTCTGATACCTCTGTTAGTTGCACCACCATATGTTTTATTGATGGGATGGATATTTGACATAAAAATGGAACATGCTCTAACTAAATACAACTAATGATTATATTGGAGAAACAGAATAATTTTCTTGGATACATTTATATTTTTAAATATAGAATCACAGTAAAACATAAAAGTCCTTTTCAAACTAAAAGACAGTGTAAACTATTATTGCTTAATATGTAATATAACCCTGAAAACCTATGATCTGAAACTTTAAAAAAGAAAGTCATTGTAGGAATACAAGGTGTATTATTACATGTGTAGCAACCTGCATGGTACAGAAACTGACCAGTCAGAATAGACATGATGAAACCAAAGACCCTGAACGTCAGAATGGATGTGTTGTGCTGGCATAATGCTGCCTTTAAATAGAAGCATTCTATTTAAGGTAATAAAACAGAAAAGAGCAAATCAAGATTTTACTGTGTCTCTTTATTCTTTATTTAATTATGTAGTAGAAGCATTCATTGTGTATAGTGTCTCCAATCTCATGTTTTTTGTCTTACACTTAAGTAATTTCTGCCATTTAATGTAAGAGCTCAGGAGATGAAATGTAATTAAGAGAGGATTGTGATTTTTACAAGAAGCTTAGAATTAAAAATCAATTGTCATTGTCATTACCTTTAAAAATCTTTAATAATTCATGAGAAATGAAATAAATCTGCTTGAAATGAGATTACATATATGCATATGTATGCCTGTGTATGTAGTTGTATAGAAATACAATGATACAATAATATAATATAGTAAAAAACAAGTATAGTTTACTTGTTTTTAAGTAAATCATAATTTTTTATCATTATAGAAATGTCAACATAAAAACCTGAAACAGTGAAACATATTTAATGCCATTTGAAATTATTCATGAGGTTCCTTACTACCATGAGAAATGTGTGATTGAAAATTAAAGTGGTTTATTTATTTTCATTTTCCTTTCAATTTATCTCATTATCTTGCTTTACTGTCCTTTAATTTTGTATTTAGTGCAGTTTTATCTCATAGGCTTTTGTTTTTACAAAAACAGAAAGAGAGAATGCTGTGGAACTACCATATTAGTTCAAGGTCATTTTAATTTTTTTTTAGTAGTGTTGATGGAATGACACATCCAAAGCAGGCACCTTTTGAGATTAGTAAATTTATCTGAGTGAATTTTATTCCCAGAGTTAGGTGTCATCTCTGACTCTGAGCTCAGGCAGTACTTCTGCCTCTCTCTAATGTTTAGAGACTATTGCTTGCTGACCTAATTTCTCATATTATAACAATTTCCTATGAATTGTAGGTGAGAACAAAACTGCTGAATTGAATGCTGACTTCATTACTTATCATCTCTTTGCTTCAGAGTTCTCATCTGTGAAATGGGATAAATAATTTATATCTATAATCTTACCTAAAACTGTATCTATAACACTATGTAATATATATTTAACAACTCTCTTAGAAGAGGGTTTGGAATATAGTAATTTTTGGATTTATTCTACTTGCTATTTTTAATTCTAAATATATTGGATATTTGGAATATATTGTGTACATACTTAATTTAAAAACTGAAATAATTATTGTAGTTCAAAGTAATATTACAATAACCACACCATGGAGTTCTATTAAGTTTGCTGAAGTAATTTTGGAAAGAGTTGATTTATATTTAGAATATACTTGTATTAATCAACCATAGGAATATAAAACTTTCTACTAACAAAGTAAAAACAATATGCCATTAAGATATAAATATCTTGTTTTCATAAAATCCATTTGGCTTTTTTCAATAGATATTTTATCTTAGTGACTTGCTATTCTAAAATCCTATTTAAGTTTTGATTACAAATTCATCAGCTAGAAGTAATATTTGTAAAATGCTAATTTTAAAATTTTTCTCAAAAATGAATTATGCAATACAGAGAAAACTAGACTATTAAGTGTCTGACATCTAATAAAATAATAAAAACATAATTTGCAATAATTCAGTAATTATTTGAGCACCGATAAAGCTAAACTAATGGCTGAATATAAACAAAAGTGAAGTTCACTTTCCATAAGAAGTAAATAGCTCTTCATAGTATAAAAATTTTACTTTCTTTATTGGCTTTTTCTTCCCTGCTTTAAGTTGAGTCACAGCAGAGACAGTGACTTAGAGTATCTAGGCTCTTCTCAGATGGGATTCTTTTCCATATATCTGTCATTTATGTCAATCCCATGAAATGATGATGTCAGCTTTTGATATTTTTTCCAATTTAATATTCAGCACTCAGCTTACCTTACTCTCAGAGAGAATGAGCCAAATATATTGTTTGTCCCAAACTTCCATCCAAAATAAATAAATAAATAAAAAAGATAAGGTAGGTTTCTATTTCTCAAAAGTTATGGGTACTTCAATTCTGATAATGGTAAAAACATGTTTTAAATGGAGAATTCTATGGAATAACACAAAGTCCTGTTTTTGCTTTCATTTTTAGCCATGGAATCTTTGTTTTCTATTATCTGTAACTAATGTTTGCAGCTACATTTGCTTGCTACCTTTGGCAGAAAAATATTCATTTCATTTGTTAAAAATATATACCACTTACAGTTCCTGGCCGTGGATAAGGGACTCTTCCTTGATAAGGCACCCACTGAAAATTGGGACCATCCCTGTGAGCATAGGGACCAAGGAAAACCCTTCTCACATCACTCATGCTATACATGCACACTGCTGATCCCTTGAAGATATTACTAAAACAGAGAGAAGAACAGGAGTTTATCCTTATGTAATGGCAAGAGAACTGTTGAGACTGAGTTATTAAATTGTACATATTAATTATCAAGGTGAATTTAAACTCTTAACAGAAATATTGTTTGGGATTGTTTTAGTCATATATATGTATTTTTTCAATGCACAAGAAAACAAATTATGATTTCTGAAAACTAGAAGGAATGGGTGAAAATATCTTTATATATATAGAATAAATACATTCATACCAAACATAAACTATTAAAAGTTAGTAGGAAAACCACAAATGGATGATCTTCTCTAAATGAATATTTAATTTTAATGTAATAGGGAAGTAAAAACTTTAACTTTGTTTGAGCCCCAAGCACCATTTCTGAAATCAGAAAACTTTTAGATAAGCAAGAATGTTTAAAAATTTTATAAGCTGAAACTGATAAGAAAAAAAGTCAATGGCAAGTGTGTCACATTATATTGTTTTTAACGTCCAAGTCACCAAACATGTTAGAAAATAATAGAGTTTGATGTTTGCATTTAAAAATCGTCTCTTTCTAACACAGAAAAGAGTTTTAAGTTAGTAGTTACTATGCCTCAGTTAAATTGGAGAATTATATCAATTATTCACATCATTTTGCTAAACAAATTCAGGTAACTGAAGTAAACTGAAAGTTTGAGTTGCCACATTTTCCATTTTATTTTGTTTGGATAAACACAATTTAAGGATTATACAAAGATATTAATCAGTTGTGCACATTATGGAATCTTTATCTTTTAGCTTAGAAAATTATATATAAATTAGACCAAATAGAAATCTTGTGTTCCTAAGAGTTTATTTTTGGAAACTGCTCAATTTGGACAATGCCTGCTAGTCTATAAAATTCTGAAGGAAGAAGTGTCTTCCATCTGGATTGTGCTGGCTTCTTTCCTGCTGTAACATTTCTTATCAATGTGCTTGTCACAGAGTAAGCTTCAATAAGTACTTTTACAATTTCGTATCTCCATTTAATTTGCTATTAATAATATCATGAAACTAGCTCAAATTGCTAATTAATAGCAAATTAGCACATTTTTATTATCATATTTTTGTACTGGGGATACATTGTAACATTTACAAAAGTTCTTCCAAAATCATCATTGAATTCACCCCCTCCATTATTCTCCTTTATCCTTCCTACCCCCATTCCTGGAATAGTTTCCATCACCTTTTGTAATGCAAATTATGGTAAGGATCCATTGTTATGCATTGTGCTTATCTATGGTTGAAATCAGGCAGCATTTCAAAGGCTTGATGACATGATCCACAGTTATTAAGACTCATTCACAAACAAACATTCATCTCCTTGAGTGGAGCAGTGGAATGGTGAAATAACTTTGCCATGAAGCCAGTGGTCCCTACACCAACAGCTTGGCATCACATGGGAACGTGTCAGAAATGCAAATTTGGTCCATCCCATTCCTATTGAATCAGAAATTCTAGGAAGAGGCCTAGCAACCTGAATTCTTATTATTTGTTATTTATTTTTCCTAATTTAAATTTGTTTCCTTAAGTGATAAAAAGAATACAGCAACCTAAATTTTGACATGCACTCTCAGGGGTTCTGTTGCACACTCAAGTCTGAGAATCACTATTGTAAGCAATACGGAAGCAGAAAAAATGTTTCTGATTAATTTGCATTTCCCACAATCCTTATTTTAGTTGTCCTGCTTTTACTCCAAGGGAGTACGGAACTTGCATATAGACTTAGTGCTATAGGCTTTTTCATTTGTACTTGTTAAAAAAAATTTTTTTTTTGAGACAGTTCTCACTACGTAGCTTAACTTGTGATCTTCCTGTCTTAGTCGCCTTTGGGTTGGAACTGCAGGCACAACTAGCATACCTGCTAATCTTTAAATTAAGGAACCAAACAAGGTACAATAAAGTAGAAATGTCAAAATGAACCCTCTGTACAGCACTCATATACTAATAAAAATGTTTTTAAGAAGTAAAAAGTTTTTAATATTTACAGAATAAACCAGTTTCAGGGATTTTAGATAATCTTTCCCTACATGCACTCATGGTCATTTGCAGAACTTTTCCTTACTTTCGATTTTATTTTTATTTTAAATATGTTATCCATATCCCTACCTATATTCATGTAAATACATATGTGTTTTTTTCAGTAACTCCAGATAATGTGAACTTTGTGCTAAAAATAATGGTGCGGAGACAGCAAGAACTTTTGGAAAGAAGAGAAGCAGAGCAGGGAGAAGTAGGAAAAGCAAGGGAAGAGAATGATAGGAGGGAGAGAGCTGGAAAGAAAGAGTGCATGGAGTAGAATGGGGATGGAGAAGGAGAAAGGAATAAATGGCTTTCTAGTTCAATATTGTATATATAAAACAGAGCAGAGGCATAAACCTACTGTTAATTTCACGTTCAAGGATTTTGTTATTCTTTTGTTCATTGTTATGAGATCTTTTTATATGGTCACTTTAAAAATCTAGATTAGAAGGTGGCCAATATGAAACTAAGAAAGGTCTTTAAAAACTAATGATTAGACTATAAAAGAGAGAATCTATTTACTGACTTAGAAAGTTTAAAAATATATATAACTGAAATATCCAGACTTGAAATAATGATTTTTAAAAGTTCCAAAGAACAATTTGGTAGTTTCATTTGTGAACATTTTATTTTCCTTAAACCTACAAATTCCTACTTTAATTCTACAGGTATGTGCAGTAAATGTAGCAAAGACTGCATGTGGAATAGAGTAATGAACTACAAGAATCCTAAGCTGCTTTGGTGTCTCCAGGTACATTTTCTTCTCAGGTTCTCAACCATCAGGTCAGAGAGATGATCTCACTGGAATTGTTGGTACCAAAAAATATCTTGGCTTTTCTTTCATCTCATTTATTTAGCAACTGATGTAAAATACAGAGAGACAGAAAAAGATAATTATTTTAGTTACATATGTATATATCATATGATTTTGTAATGATCATATATTATATATGTGATATCAGTCTTAAATTTTCTTCACCCATAGGATACATAGGATATGACAAACACTTTTTTTTTTTTTTTTGCATGTGGCACTGAAGATTGAACTCAGGGCCTGGCACTTGGTAGGTAGGTTCTCTACCACTTGAGCCATCCCCTAGATTAACACCCACTCTTCAAACTGCTTCACCATTCTCTTTCAACTAAAATTTATCTTTAAAAATAAAAAAACAACTTATTAAGTAATTTTTTTTTCAGCCACTTAAGGATGGATAACATTTCAGAGATTAAAGCAATACTGTTCTTTCAAAAAATATATTTTCACAAATTATTGATACTTGGAAAGCAACTAATGGACATGAAGTTTGATTAAAACAGTAACAAGAGTTACTTACCTTGATGTTGTAAAAACTCCATATACAATTGGGTTTTTAGGATCTTTAGAGTTCATTAGGAACACATCCTCTGTTTGAAAACAAGATTGGGGAAAGTTGTATTTGTCATGGTTGTGGCAAAGGTCCTCGTAAACAGCACAGGCTACTTGGCTACTTACGCAGCTCATCAAAGTGGGTGTCAATGCCATTGGGACCCGGCACAGAGCAAATCAGACGAGCTTTGAGGAAAGTGGTCCATTTGTTCACCAGGCTTCTGTGTCCTCCAAAGTCATTCTGACAGGAGAGAACACCAGTTTTAGACACTGCACACAAGTGATTTCTAATGTTACTTTTTTCATATATTGATAGAGATAACAAGATATAATGATTCATGTTTTCAGATTTGAGAAAAAAAGGAATCTTTATTTGCAACCGTGGGAGCTCCCAAATTCTCAATTTTTAAACATTCCATAATCTTTCTATCTACATGGGAGGCTCGGATCAGGAGGATCAAGTACAGCTCTGGCAAATTGTTCTTGAGACCCCATCTCCAAAATAATCAAGGCAAAATGGACTTGGCATAGCTCAAGCTGTATAATACCTGATTTGCAAGCTCAATCTGCAGTCCCACCAAAAAACGCAATTGTCTTGTAACATTAAAAAGTCACTTTATGGCCATCAATGGGTGACTGGATTAAGCAGAAAAGAAGGAAGCCATTTAACATGGCTAAACCTTGACCATTATGTTAAGTAAAATAAATCAGGAATAATAAGATAAATACTATGTGATTTTAATCAAATATGAATCTAAAAATGTTGAACTCAAAGAAGCAGAATATAGAATGGAGGCTACCAAGGGTTATTGAAGGGTGAGATTGTGACACATGTTGTTCAATATAAGATTTTCAGGAATAAATTTAAGAGATTATGCCACACGGTGATTATAGGTAATAATAATCTGCTATATTATTTAAAACTGCCAAGGTTAGATTTTAAGTATTCCTATCACAAAGAATTATAAGTATTTGAGGTATTACTTATGTTAATGTGTTTGATTTAACCATATCACAATCTATACATAATACAAAAAAATCATGTTATATATGGTAAATATATGTACTTTTTATTTGCAATAAAAAACAAATTTTAAGAGGTCATTTCACCTTGTCATTCTGTTTCTACTCCTCAGTGAACAATTGCTGCTCTCATGTTTGTTCTGTTTTAGTATGAGTCTCTCTCTCCTATTTACTGAGCAATATCTGAAATCTTACAGACCTGTGCAACTGGTTCACAGCTAATACTTGATATACTGTAGGCACTCAATAAATATTTATTGAATGGGTGATAAAGGCATGCCTTATAACCTGTACTGAAAATACATCCTCCCAAAAAGCATACTGGTATCAACTACAACTATTCTAAAAGCTTGAATTGTTGAAGCAGTGTATACTTTATAAATAGCATGTTGTGAAAATATTTGCATGAACCTTACTAAAGGAAACTCTTTCCAGAGAAAATATTTTGAAAGTGTCCCCTACTGCAAATAAATGTTAATTTTAACCTAAAAGTAGTAATAAATTCTATTGCAAAGGTATATACTCACTAGCAACTACAGATTTAAAATAATATTTATGTACATATGCTGAAAGGACATAGAGGTTTCCTCCAAAAATAGAATACAGATTTATATTTTGTTTATTTGATATTTTAATATATAAAGATTTTTAAGTGAATCTTTAAAAATGTGAATAATGTATTTATTGGCGAAAAGAGTCGCATTTTTCACATATTGTTTGTACATTTCCAAACAGTTTAAAAAATACTTCATTTTCTAGTAATTGACCATACTAGAGATAGACCATTAGATCATGAGTGGGGTAAAAAGGTCACAAAAACCTCACTGTCAAAAGATATGGTTTTGTGATTTTCATTAGTTGAAAGGTGTCTTAATATGTACCAGCAGTTGATTTTATTCACATTCACTACCCTATATACTGCAGAGGAAAAGGATTGTACTATTATCATGTTTTCACATTGGTGATACTAATTAAACCATATTTGTTGATCAATTTTTATTCTAGATATGTAACTTTATAATGCAATATTAAACCTGGTATCTTGCCACACATTAAATGGAATACCTTAGAAAGTTAAAGATCAGAGTTTTAAAATTACATGTAAAATTACATATTTGTGTATCTGAGTTTGTATGAGTACCTGTACATAGGATGCCATAATTTGCAAAAATAAGTTTCACTTATTTTTTGAATAGTAATCTTAAATTACTATTTTTCTTACATTCCAACAAGTATTCATTAACTTGCCAGTTGTAGGAAACTTTGCTAAATCTGAGAATACCAAAAAGTTATTTCCACAAGTAATATTTTATATCTCTATTTCCAGGAAAGTCTCTAGAATTCCAAACCAAGTTCATTTAATGAAACTATGAAGTAATGCTAGTTGCCTCACAATGTCTATCTGCATGTTTGACTGTGAAGAGAGACTGGAAAGCATTTATAATGTATTTTCAAACATTTAAATAATTGTTATGATATATTATAATACATTTTCAGATATATTTTCATTTAGGTGGAATACAATGAAACTGTCGTTGGGTAATGACATCATCAATTCTTTTTCTGTACCTCACCTTGCATATCTGACCTATTCTAGCATGAGTGGCTTTTCCAGAATGTTCTCCATCTATTGCATTTTCACGGAAGAAGAAATATACTTTGTCATCTTCAGGGTTGTCACTCTCAGGGATTAGGTGGGCACTAATGAACCTAGGATCTGAGAGATAAATTATAGCATATATATTAATTCTTAGTTTAACAAACAATACCAATCATTATAGTATTTCTCCTAAATTTTTTGATATATTGAAAGAAAATAATATTTCCCTAGTTCACCTTTTTTAGTACATGTGAACTGCTCTTTAGACATTCTAAAGTATATTACAAATTATGTTATATTTCCACAAAAATTAATTCATTTTGTTTAGAATATTAAGAGTAGGTGCTAAAATCCTCAGTGTGACCACATATAGAAATCATTATTAAAATACTTTGCAAACTTTAGCTGCTATCAAGTGTTACTTATTGCTGTCACCATTGTTACTGTTTTTTTCAGGCATAATATAAAGCAAACTACTAATTGTAACTGGTCTCTTCCTGTTTCCACCAAAGGCCAGGTGGGAATACACAAAGCATATGAATGAATTCTCTCCTGTTCACATCTCAGTAAATGTTCATGTTCTACTAACCCTGGAGTCACCCTTGCTCTCACACCCCACAGTCTTTCACCATAGTCTTACTCATAATCATTTTTTACCATCCTCTCCCAGTCACCAATTTCAACCTGGATCACTAAAGTGGATCCTTATTAAGTCTTTTTATATCTTACCAACTGCCATCTCTTTCTCTACACAACAGCCAGAATAAGCCTCTGAGAAGTCACTTTCATTATCTTTCTAACTAAAATGAAGAATGCTTCCAAAAGCTAGAAGTTTATGATCTGACCCTGGCTCTCTGTCATTGCTTTTCTTCCACCTGCTCTTCCTTCCCTACCTACTCCCAGACAATGCCAATTCCCTTCCTGGATCTCACAAATGCTCAGCTTCCCAGTCCTGCCTGAATTTGCTCCCTGTGGAGCTCTCTGCCCTTATGTTTCCTTGAGGTCAAAAATGTTTTTGTTTAAATATTACAGTTTAAGAGTAACATCTGTTGATGATCCTATCTAAAGCACTGAAATCCTAGCTCTTGGTCAGTCTCTGTTTCTTCTCTTGCATTATTTTTCTTCCTAAAATTATTCAGTACCTTATATGCATTCTCTCTCTCTCTCTCTCTCTCTCTCTCTCTCCATTTTATTTTCATTTGCTATTGCCTATCTTAATCTCCCAATGGAAGATAAGGTCCAGAAGAACAAGGACTGAACACATTTTGATATTGTGAAACTAGAGTTAAAAGAGGAAAGCAAAAAAAAAGGAAAACAAATTCAGCAAAAAACCCTCCAGAAAACCAGGATATATTTGATACATTGTAAGAACCTTCATAAATGCTACAATGTACCCCCACCCAGCACAACAATAGAAAAATAAATTTTTAAAGATAAAAGGCCTCTTCAAAATATTTCCTGTTTGCTTAGATTGTATAATTTATAAATGTAAATAAAAGATTTAAAGTATCAGAAAAAACAAAAGCAAACCTCAAAAGAGCAAAACAAACAAAAAAAGAAGCTGAAGCTAGGTACCAGTGGCTCACACCTGTAATCCTAGCTACTTGGAGGCAGAGATCAGGAGGACTGCAGTTCGAAGCCAGCCCAGACAAATAGTTCCTGAGACCCTACCTCAAAAATACTCAATACATTCTTGAGTAGATAATACATCAACCATATTCACCTTCTTAATTTCCTTCTATTAACCTCCCAATCTCATATGTGACCTCCCCTTAGCTGTTTTTTTAAATATTTGCTTGTATTTGTATTAGGTATATATTCCACATATGAGACAGAATATGCAGTCTTGACTTTCTGGACCTGGCTAACTTCCCTTAAGGTGACATTCTCCAGTTCCATCCATTTACCTGCAAATGACAAAATTTCATTCTTCTTTGTGGTTGAATAAAATTCCACTGTATATAAATACCACATTTCTTAATCCATTCATCAGTGGTGGAGCATCTTGGCTGTTTCCATGGCTACTGTGAAAGGTATCCTGTGCCTTACAGAGTATGTGAATAACCAGTGCAGACCTATGACTTTATATCTGATCTTAGAGTAGCAAATACAGAAAAATGACTCAGGGAAGAACAAACCACCAAGACAGCCTAAACCCGTGACAAGGCTATTAAATTAGGGCAGCTCCAAAGTGCAGCCTGCTCTGTTCTTTAAGCCGCTCCCTCAGCAGCTCTCAAAGCACTGGCCAAGCACTTGTCACTTATTCAAGCTGTTTACTCTGTTAACCAAGTTTCCAGGGGGTTAGTTCTTGAAAGTGTATGACTTGCAGCAAAATACTTACCAAATACTTGCCTTATACTAAAACTTACTTTTAATCAAAAGCTAATTTCCACTTTTGTGAAATTATTTCAGATTTACAGCTTCTTGACATTTCTCTCCTTCAGAAAAAATACACCTATTTGATTTACCATTTAAAAAAAAGAAAATACTCAATACAAAAAAGGTCTGGCTGAGTCGCTTAAGTGGTTGAGCACCTGGATAAGAAGTGTGACACCCTGAGTTCTAACTCCAGTACTGCAAAATGAAAAAACCTAGTTGATTTATATTATGCAGAATATATATCAGCAGTGTTCAGAGTCCGACTTCAAAAAATACTTTTGTAAATAATTAGTTTGACATGCCATGGTTCATACACACAAAATTAAATATATAATATCTTCAAGGCTTGGCCATGCAAAGTGCTAAGAAGCTGTGCTTATCTCCTGAAAGCACTTAGGATATTGCAGACATTTAAATCTTACAGGAACTTATTTTTACTCCCACAGTGTATTATGTTATCAAGGCAATAAAGAAATTTACACATGAGTCAGCACTGTTCTTATGAGACTAGGTAAGAGATCAGAACTCTGAAACTAGCTTTATCCATAAACAGTCCACGTTATTTAGTCCTGATTTTCACACCTGTGAGTAATCATCATCATTAAGTGTTCTATGCATGTAACCTCCTCTTAACATTGCTTTGGGATGGTGCATTTAGTAGGTTTTGCAGGGCTTATACCTCACTCCTCTTCAGGCAATTGTTGGCAATAATGGTGCCGATAGGTTTCGGTTCTTACGCACCCTTAAGCTTCTGTTTTCCAGGGTCACGGTCCTGCCTCAAGTGTAGCTTGAATTCTCCTTCTGCCCCAACCTCCAATCAGCATGAACCATAAGATCCTAACCAATCAGATCATGCCAAGTCTCACTAAGGGGTATTTAAGCTCTCTCTCTCTCTCTCTCTCTCTCTCTCTCTCTCTCTCTCTCTCTCGGCTCTCTCCCTCTACCACCTGGCAATAAAAAATCTCTTGGCCAGATCACTCCTCTCTGCGTGGTCACTTTGGGGCCTACATTTCCAACACAAATTACACTCTGCAAGCAATGTAAAACATGAAATATTACCAGTGAAAAGAATTGTGAAATAATATTTTTAAAGACTAATCAGTTAGCATACCTAGTATGAGAAGTTTAAAGACACATAAAATAATAATTACTTTAAATAATTATTTGCAACACTTGTTTCTGTTCATAAACGTTCACTTCTTCATATGCATACATATACTTATATATATATATACATATATAATAGCAGAATAATTAATATGACATGGTAGGAATTCTTGTTGCAAGGCCAAGAAAGACTACTACATTGATGAAGTTAGGCTCCTAGAAATGCTCTGTGTGTGTGTGTGTGTGTGTGTGTGTGTGTGTGTAACACACATCTGCATTTGCAAGCACTCAGTCCAGTCACTTAAAACTTCTGTGACCTTTGGCAAGACTCTTTACTCTCAGAGTTCGGGTGCCCAATTTTTAGATTGGTTTTTATTTCAAATTGAGGTAGTTCAAAATTACTCACCTTATCTGTCATAAGTAATACAAAACAAATATTTTATATTTAAGGCATATAAAACAATGTTGAAAATGTTAACAAGTCTATTATCATTATGATGAAGTTGAAAAGAAGACTCCATGATAGGTTAAGTTTGGGAATCTCATTATGAGATATAAATTAAAATGAAATCTCATATATTCTTCTTGTTTCATGCTGGAACAGTATTTGTGAAAGATTAAGTGATGTAAGAAATGTGTTTGTCCACATGATGGTTACTGTTAGCAAGAAAATTTCAAAATTGCACAGACCAATTTTTAAAGGTCACAAAAATGATATGAAAAAAATAAGAGTTTAGAAAAAATGCAATGGGAATATAAGGGCAATTAATCTTGTCTTGAAGAATGAGCACAATTTTTTTTCTCAGAAAAAAAAATCAAGACCTAAAAAATAACTAAGATATTTTAAACCTAGTGATGACATTATTGGATTTCTGTTTTAGGAGGATCACTCTGGCTGCTGCAAAATTGAAAAAATAAACAAACAAGTGATTGTGGTGAGGCAAGATTGAAGACAGGACACCAGTGTGGATGCTGTCACATAAAAGTGAGAAAGATGGGAACTGTGTCTCTGAGGGGCAGTGAGGAAGGAGAAAGTGGATGCTCTGAGGGCTCATTTGAAAGTAGAATGGGTGAATTACATTCAGTGATAGGATGCTGAATGTGTGCAGTGGTGAGAAAAATGTAGAAAACAAAGAAAATTCTGATTTGAACAATTGGCTGGAGAAGAGCTAAGTACTAAGATGGGAACATGTGTGGAAGAGCAAATTTGTAGGAAGGAGGATGGGCTCAGTTTAGGGCTTAAGAGTGAGAGCCTGATGAAGTCCCATAGACCATGGCTTCAAAGTGCTCAAGAAGAAAATTTGTGTTAGAATTAAAGATTTTTGAAATTCAGCTGATGGAGTGAGTGACAGGGAAGGGATAGAGTCAAAAAGAGAAAGAGAATAGACCCTAAAACCCAGAGAAGGATGATGGGAGGCAGAAACTTGCAAGCTGGGAGCTGTGGAAGAAGGGAAGAAAGTATTTCTTGGATTTTCCATCTTTCCCTGTTTAATGACTCATCCTCTGTGTCAAATATTTAGGTTTTTTGGGGAAAGGGGGATAAAGGAGATAAAGGGTTGAATCCAACTGTGATATATTGCAGGAACTTTTGTAAATGTCACAGTGTACCACCAGTACAATAGTAACAAAAA